TTGTCCAGCTCTTGAAGCATAGTGTCTGTGGTGGAGCTGAAGAGGCCATCACCTTCAAAGAGAAGATCTTCAACAACGGTTTTGGTATCTGGCTATAAGGCCAAAGAGCGTAACCATGCATGCCGATGTAAAGCGACTGACGATGTGAGGGTCTTAGCTGTGGAGTCCAGCAAGTGTTTGGAGACATTAAGACATGTCTTGTGAGGAAGACGCCACCGGCGACAGTGCTGCTTCCATTAGCGCCACACCGAGTCTCACTGCCCGATTCTTCCTGGTCTGTTTGGAGAACTTGGAACAGTGGGAGCAAGAGTCAACACGGTGCGATTCCCCGAGGCACAGAAGACAAAGAGAGTGTCCGTCAGAGGGGGCAATTTTTCTTCCACAAGTCCAGCACCATTTAAAGAAACCCCACCTCACAGCCATAGGCCAGAGGGAGGGGGAGAGAGTGTCTCTGCGGAGGCGGAGATAGTCCAAACTGAAAAAACTAACTAACTAAATCACTTTCCTTAACTAATTGAGGTAAGAAGAGAAAGAAGGCCTAAAGCCAATAAACTTTACTGACCGAGGCGTAGAGGTCCTACCAGTGCGGCGGTCAGAAGAGAACTGGCGGGATCCTTGTGCCCTCCCCCTAGTCATGCGCAGTGGAGCCCAGCACGTGACTGGGGAGTGGGTGCGAAAAATCCCTTTTGCTTTCCAAAATACTGATCGGGGTCGGCGCAGGCACACTATAACCCAGAGGTATGATGCACAGAGACCACGAAGAAGATCAGAGATTTTCAAATATGATCCTCCTCAAGACAGGAGCAAGGATGAAGAAACATGTGTGAATCCAGTAACAAGCTTGAGTTGCATAACTTCTTTGTCAACCATGGTTATATGTGTACTATCTGAATGTAGCCTTAGTACATTCTCAATAGTCCCTGTATGAACATATACATATAACAACAAAACATCAGCGATACTACATGCCAGATCAACTTTTTGGAGCGCCAGTTTGGTGTAGTGGTTAAGTGTGCAGACTCTAATCTGGGAGAACCAGGTTTGATTCCCCACTCCTCCACTTGCACTTGGCTGGATGATCTTGGGCAAGCCATAACTCTGGCAAAGCTGTTCTTGAAAAAGAACAGTTTCTGTCAAGAGTTCTCTCAGCCCCACCTACCTCACAGGGTGTCTGTTGTGGGGAGGGGAAGGGAAAGGAGTTTGTAAGCCGCTCTGAGACACCTTTGGGTAGTGAAGGGCAGGGTATAAATCCAATCTCTTCTTCTTCTTCTTCTTCTTCTTAAATAGCTCACTTCATTGTTGCTTCTCTCAGTGCTAACATCATGTCTATGAAAGGCATGCAGTAGGTAAAACGAAGAATGTCGGGCACAGGGAAAGGAATGGTTGTTTAAAAGCATGAGTGCGCTGGTGGGAATACCTTTCAAAATCATAATCGGTTTCTAGTTATCTTTTCTGCATAATTCCAGTAGATGAAGTTATACGGTAATACTTTTCCAGCAACATATGAACTTGCTGATTGATGGTGATCTTTTAAAACACTTTTGTTTCATCAACATTGTGCAATACGTTGTCGAACGCTTTCACGGCCAAAGTACTCCACGTTTCTGTGTTATACCTCTGAGGATGCCAGTCACAGCTGCTGGTAAAAAGTCAGGTCCTACAATGCCAAGACCGCAGCCATACAGCCCGGAAAATCTACAACAACTATTGTGCAATACCATATTTAACTGGGAAGTTTATTTATTTATTTAAGAATGGGAAACTCTGCCTTAGAGGAGAGGATAGAATTTCCATGTAACTGTTAACAGGATTAAAAGGAAAACAGAAAGTACGAGTGGCAGGTGGTTGTTTGCCAGCAATCAGAATGCCAACAGTCTTGCCTATCATCTACCAAACCAAATTCCAGATTGCAAAAGGTGAAAACAAAGTGTCTTTACTCATCTGGCATTTGTCAACTATATGCACTGGGCCTTTATGTTAAGTTAATAGTCCTGGCTTCATTCTTGGGATAACATGGATGTTATTCTGGATTACTCCTGTTAATTAATTGGTTTTGTCCTGGGTGTTTGGAACTTTTTAATTAGCTGATGTGGCTGTTCTCTTCCTTTTCTCCCTGAAGCAATTTTCACATGTCTCTGGTGGGTATCACATGTGGCTCAGTTGGTATTGGGTCACTGCTTTTCTTCTCTAGCATATAAATTGGAATTAGTAATCATAATAAATGTTATTTTGCTTTGTAGAGACCTTTTCTTCTTTGTGAAAAAAGTGGTGAAAAGAGATTCTGCTCACTTCACACTAACATATTTCTTCCTATATTTCCTTGTGTGGTGACACATTTGTTCTTGACAAGAACCTTGTGTTTCAGCTGAGTTCATGGCTTCAAATCTTGCTAGAACAATAATATTCCTTGAACTTCCACTTAAGATGGAGTTTATAGGTTAATGAAATTTGCATTTACATCAAGCCCAAACCATCTATTTGCAGGGATATCTATCCAGGAAGCCAATCAGCAAACTACTTTATGTCATCTGTCACTGCCTCTGTAGCAGTTCTGCAGAATTAGAAGAATGGGGTCTCACTGCACAAACCCTTCTGAGCAATCGTAGAGGGGGACATTTCGTGGGTCCTGATAAGGGAAAGCTTAAATGTGAATCTTTGTTTTCGTAAGGGAATGCCAAATTCTTAAGGACAGCCATAGCTGTATGTCATAATGCTATACTATTTCTTGCATGTCTGTAATAGTTTCCCTGATATATTTAGCTACTGCTTGTCTTAAATCAACATAAAAAATTCAGTTTTCATTGATTCTATCCCTGCAGCAGAATTCATCTTTCACAAAAAACAACCCCAACCCCCTTCTAGTATGGTGCTGCCTTAGTGAATAGTTCTCAGATTTCCTATATGTGATGCTCTTTTCTCTCTGTACAGAAACTGCCTGAAGGACAGCAGGCTGCTCATTTGGAGGCCTAGACATTTTCTGCTTCTGTGGTTATAAAGACTTTCTCTAAAGTAGTGGAAAAAAGAAATGTTCTGTTCTGAAGTTTTGTCTTTAACAGCACTAACTCTACTCATTTCACTGTTTTGACAAAAAAGTTGCAGGTAATACCAAGAAGATCATGGCTCTGATGCCATTGATCTACATACTACTGGACTAAATATCATGGATCATCAGATAATGCCCTCTAGGAAGGCAGCCTGTTATTATAAAGGTCACTGGTAAAATAAGTCTTGTGGGAAGACCCATTGCATTGATTTGGAAAGAGGAGTATTAAAATATCACTGTATAAATTTGATCGCCTAGCAGAACACACACAGAGAGAAGAATCTTGTAAATATCATTCATGCTTTTGTGTATGCTTCAAGACATCTTTATTGTGAACACTAAACAGATAGTTAAGATGCATTGTGGTGTGCAACTATTGTAAAATAAGGGAAAGGGGGGGGAAGTACTAGTGTACTGGTTTTCACTTCGCTTGATCTTTCTTGCACTTGTAGGTGTTCCAATGTAAATAGGGAAGTGCTCTGACAACTACTTCAAGGTAGTAGCTATTGTGACCTAATATCTCATTTGGATGAAGACTGGACTGTGAATTCACAAAGATCAAATAATTAATAATCAGGATATAATTTAATTATTAGAAGCTTATTTTCTTCTGAAATTTACATTACCTAGAAAACATAATGTAATTGCTTTCTGAACATCAAGAGTTTCTTCCAGCTCTAGAAAGAAGCTCCAGGTAAGTGTCCTGGCTGTCGCTGGTGGGTGGCAGAGGGAAGGGGAAAACAGAGGGAGGCAAGCCATGTTTATTTCCTTCTGTTTAACTATAAGGCAGGGCTCTCTCAATTCATTTTGCTGCCCCAAGGGGGTAGTATGGGAGAGCAGCATGGTAACAGGTATGGTTCCCTCTACCCCTGACTTACGTTGGTTTGGGGCTATGCAGTGGCAGCTAAGGAAGATGCCATGTTTTCTGAATTCCAAGAGTCTTGAAAGCAGTTCTGTAGCCAGTTACAGGGTTGGCAACTCTGGGTGGGGAATACCTGCAGATTTGAGGGGTAGAGTGGGGTTTGGGGTAGGAAGGAACCCCAGCAGGGCACAATGTCATACAGTCCACTGCCCAAAGCAGCCACTGTCTCCAGAAGAACTGATGTTGGTCATCTGGAGATCAGTTGTAATAGCTGGATATCTATAGGTGCCGCCTGGAGGTTGGCTTATGTTGATTTGGGGCTATGCAGTGGCAGCTATGCACCTCCTCCTATGCCATGTTTTCTGGGTTCCAAGGGTCTGGAAAGTGCTTCTGTGGCCAGTTACACAGTTGCCAACTCAAGATTGGGAAATACCTGTAGATTTGAGGGGTAGAGCCTGGGGATGACAAGGTTTGGGGTGGGGAGGGACCTCAGCAGGTTATAATGTCATAGAGTCCACTGCTCACAGCAGCCATTATCTCCAGAAGAACTGAGGTTGGTCATATGATCCAGGCCTCACAGGGACATTGGCAACCCCAGTGAACATTTAGGGGAAGATTGGGAGATGTATTTTGCCTCAGGACACATTCAGTGACTTCCAACGGCAACAGCAAACCGTTTAGAATGTTGGAGGTGAGGGTCAATAAGGCCACATATGCAAACAACATCTGTGTTATGACTGGCTATGGGGGGGAGAGGATGATATGCAGAATGGAGCAAGGCCCAATCAGCCCACATAATTAAATGACCTTGAAAGGCTGGCCCAATCAGGAAGAATGTGAGTCATTGGGAACACGGCTAGCCTTTTATATATATCTAGATAGGAAGGTGCAATAAACTGCTAGTAAAAGCAATGCTGTCCCCCAAGTAATCTCAAAGCTGCTGGGCCTGGGGAAGGTGACAGTATATGGACTAGTTCTGCTGAACACTTAGGAGGGGAAAAGAAATTGAAAGGACAATAAAGCCCTCAAGAAGAAAGGACAAGAAATTAAGCTTTGAGTTCTTATTGTTAGGTAAATTTTTTACCAAAACCTTACCGTCCAGGTGACTTGAACTGTGGTCGGGGTCAGCACAACAGGATTATGAAGTCGCACAATGACATCCCCTAGCTCCTTTTGGACCTGCCTGTGATCCACTCCTTGCGCTGGTGGGCTGATATCTGGCAGGTCAAACACACATGCATAGACACATGAATTACCTTAATGAGAGTAACTCAGAAAAATCAATTCATTACAATGACCAATAAGTTTAAGAATCTTGATTTAAATAACCAAACTAAAATTATCTTGAAATAATGCAGCAGGTAACTATGGATGTAACAAAGCACTAAGAAAGCGCAGTTTCTTTTATGAACAAATCACTAAGGTTCCTGTTGTTTATATATGCTTATATTTTTTAATGGAAAGAAGCTGTGTCATTCAAATGCATTTAGGCTATCAGATGGTGGCATGAAGTGGCATGTACTTGCACAGTCAAGGCGGAGTTTTGGGGTCTAATTTAAGCAAATGATACAAAATGTAAAGATTTGCCACTTTCTAAAATTCTATGTGCTGTAACTTGATCAAAATTTGATTAAAGCTGCCTTCACCTTCAACTACAAGTTGCAACCATAAGAGCAAATAAATGGTGAAAACCAGCAAAGCATAGTGTGTGCAGAAGGGATTCAAAGTTGTATGGAAGAAAATGGTCTACACACAGAGTGGTCGATAATCCTTAATTTGTCAAAACCAATTCCAGACATCTTGCCTTAATGATTACCTTACAGAGAAGCAAGATATTCATATACTACAACCACCAACTCTGTGGCATCCATCTATTGGTACAGGATACAATGTTCCATCACCATTATCATAGTGCTTCCTTTTTCCTCAGCCCACATGATCTTACAAAATTTTGCAAAGAAATAGGAATCCCTTAGATGATGCTTCTCTCTAAGACCTGATTCACACAAGAATATTCATCACTTGGCTGTAAGATGAAAAGGACAATTCTCTCTCTCTGTTTGTATGTGTGTGTCTGAGAGAAAGAGAGAGAGAGAATATCACACACACACAGAGTACTTTCCACAGACCGAAAGGCAATTGCTGGAGATTGAAAGGTTTTCTGCCTGTGGAGCATGGCTTCCTAATCTATTCATTCTGCTATGGCCTGAATGTCCCTGAAATGCAGCTCCTGAAGGAAAAATAACTCCCAGCAACAGAATGAAAGGGAAGCCAGAGATCTGCAGGGGCAAGGGAGGGACATGGTAAAAATTACCCCCCTTTCCATTTGTGGAAATGTTATGTGGGATCCAATCCAGTGTTATGTCTCTCATTAACCCAGTAAAACATGTCTTGACATTTAATTTCGCTTTAGCATATCATAATGGCAGGACACTTTCACCATATATGCAAAAAATTGGCAGAGAGTACATTACATGTTCAATAGTTATGACTAACATTACCAGGCATTTTATTTAGCTTTGGGATATGAATTTCCCTCTCTCTACCTCTGTGTGAGCATGTGCATTTAAAATAACTCCTATACAAATTGTATTACCCTTTAGCCAAGATTTTATACCAGCACAACTCCATTAGAAGTTCTGCCAAGCATTTTCCCCATGCACAATTTAAAAAGTTGAAAACTGATACTTAATGGAAGACAACTAAGAATAGATTTCATATAACACGCCTCTGGAATGACTCTGCAAAAATCAGTTACAGAAGTCCTCAGGGGCTTTTTTATTTCTTGATACCAGATCAAAACTATCTCAAAAGTGAAAATACTGAAACCACTGAATATTTCCTACACTCGTTTCTTGATCAAATGTCAGAAGTCATCAGAGAGGACATCCTAAAATCTTACATTTCCATAATTAACCAATATGGAAGATGTAGATATGATTTTAAACTGCTGATTAAAAATAAAAAGTCAGTAAAACCTGTACACGCAAGATATTCTTAAATTTATTCAAATGTTGAAACTCTAAATGAACTGAAGTTAGATGTTATCTCCAGATTTTTATATTTACTCAGGTAAAATCAGAGGAAATGACACAATAGGAGTTTTACCATGGTTTTGCTCTGTCCATATCATACAATTTTTACACATTTAAAATTTTTATAGGAGTACGTTTCAACACACAGTGCTGCATATCTGTTCTGTCATGCTTCTGTTCTGTTCTGCAGAATGGCCAAAGTAGTTTGCAATAATTTACTGTCCCAAATAAAATTAGATAACAGTTTTTCCAGACTTCTAACACTTGTACAGATAAGTAAAGGTGGCACTTTTTGGATGTTAATACAAGGAAGATCTTCATTTTAACAGTAATAACCATTTATCTTTTTTTTACTATCATAGATAAAGATGAAGGAGTGTGCATGCACACAAAAGCTTATGCCTAGAATAAAACTTTGTTGGCCTTAAAGGTGCCACTGGACTTAAATGTTCTGTTGTTTCAGACCAGCACAGCTACTCACCTGAATCTATAGATAAAGATGTACAGGTCTTATGAAATTTGCAGTACTAACTTTCAACCATAAAAGTGAATTTGACAAGAATTAGGAAGGCCTGGAAGCTATAGCACTGCACCTGTGGCCAGACACATTAGCAAACAGTTCTGTGCATTTTTGGTGCAACAACAGAGGAACAACACATGTAAGTAGCAGTTTCTTCTTCTTCCTCCTGCCCAAAGCTTTATGGCTAAGGAAAGGGACCTGGCATACCACCTTCAATGCCAATACGCTGTTTGACCAGAAGAAGCCAGAAAATGACATATGATTGCTGATGGATTATGATTGCTGATGTAATTTAGTGCACTTTTATCCCACACTTTATCCAGGGAACTAATGGCAACATACACAGTTCTTCCCTTATCCATTTCTCCCCTCATGATAACCCTGTGAAATAGATTAGGCTGAGAGTGGCTAGCCCACGTTCATCCAGCGAGTTTCCATGGTGGAGTAGGCATTTGAACCAGATTCTCCAAGATCCTAGTCTGATCCTCTAACTCAGGAGTGACCAAATTTTTGGGCATATCAAGAAATTATTTTGTGAGCTAGACCACAGCAGGGACAGGGTCTGCACCATTTTTTCCCTCCACTGCTATTCTGACTCTAGCAACAATGTGCCAGTTGCTTAACCTCCCAGTTCCTACAGCCTACTATGAGTGGCTCAGCAGCACAGGAAATGCAGTGGGGAAGCTGGGGAAGCCAACTGCTGCTGATGGCTACCAAGGCACACCAGGAGCGCTCTGGGGTGGAGCTCAGGAGTTGGATGAAAAGGGACTGTGGACCACAGGGTTGTAGTGTGGATGACAACACCATGCTGACTAGTTATGGACCTTTATTTACTCAAACAAGGTGTATAGTTTTATTCACTCTCTATGTAATATTAATGTAAAAAACTTCACAATATACAATGGGCTTTTCTATAGTTCTTTGAATAAAGCCCGTGGGTGTGTGTGTGCATACACACACAGCTTTTTTTTCTGGGAGAATGTGCTTGAACAGATTTCTGGAACCTCTTTGACAAAATTCATTTAAGAATGTTTAAAAGTTCATAAATTTTCAGTATACAGATTGAAAATTTCATTTTCCTCTTGAGAAAGCCATGCATGTGTGTGTGTTTTTCCCCAGTTGATATAATAAATCAGTACCTGTAGCTGATTCTTCCCCTTGTAATGGCTAGTGTAAATAGACAGCTTTCTTTGTGTGCCAGATTTCTTTGTGAGGCTGTATTGAATGTGAGCACATTTGAAGTTATATCAAAATATTGTGCTACGTGTCATTTCGATTTATTATTTAATTTCTCTAAGCTGTAGGATACTACAAAGGCTGTCAATGTTATACATGCCGGAGCACACATGCCTGGTAGGAAGCTTGAGAAAACAGAAACCACCAACACGCACTGAAAGCAAAGCAAAGAACTGTTTTAATGAAGTAAAATCTTTTGTCAATCTGTCAGGTAAAGAGAATAAATCTGACGTATTTCCACAAAGTGTAGTCCCTTCTTGAAGAGCTGGATGGTATTAGCAACATAAAGGCTCTCAGTGGACTAGTTTGGTGTAGTGGTTAAGTGTGCGGACTCTAATCTGGGAGAACTGGGTTTGATTCCCCACTCCTCCACTTGCACCTGCTGATGTGACCTTGGGTCAGTCACAAGCTCTGGCACAGCTGTCCTTGAAAAAGAGCAGTTTGTGTAAGAGTTCTCTCAGCCCCACCCACCTCACAGGGTGTCTGTTGTGGGGAAGGGAAGGGAAAGGAGTTTGTAAGCCACTCTGAGACTCCAAGTGAAGGGTGGGGTATAAATCCAATATCTTCTTCTTCTTCTACAGGAGGCACAGTAGACTGTTGTCTCTATTTCCTCAGATTTCCTGAATGGATAGCAGTAATTTGAGGCACTTCACCAGAAGAAAGAACTGGATGTCTCCACTGTGTAGACTTCTATGTCACTCCCTCTCATGTTGCAGCATTTGCTGCAGCACGCAGTAAGGACTTCAGCATGGATTTTGCATGGATCCTGGTGACATAATTATAATGGGGCAGGAAATTGTATCTACTATTAACTGACTATTTTATGGCCTTTCTATTACTTGTCTGATCTTCTGATGGGGCTTTCAATGTCATATTGTTCACAGAAAAAGACAGGGTGTCCACTTACCCTCATTGGGACACAAGGAAACGTAATGGGAGCCGGAAAAGTCTTTTGCTAAGGTTACTAGAAAGCCTACCCATATCTCAGACATCATAAATAGATGTTTACCCTACTTTAACTGATTGAATGTAATATTAATTTTTCATACTCAAAAATAAATAAATAAATAAATAAACAGATGACCAGATTGGTACTTCATGGTATAAATAATTAGACAGCAATGTGACCAGATATCTTCTATCCTTTCTTTCTTTCCTTCAGATGTTTTCTGGAGATGTTCGTGCAAATGAAACACAAATCCTTTCTTGGCCAAAGGCTATAAGAATAACCAGCTTTAAAAGTATAGGCATCAGCAGTGGATAATATGCACACATTTCAGGAGTATCATTTCAGAGACAAAGAATAGGGGAAGAACTAGGTTATCATAAACTCTACATTCAAGGGGAATGGTTCCTTCTAATCCTGTGAACAGAAGCTCGGAACCTTAGAACTGTAAACTGTTGCCCTGCAAGAGCATTATGCGGCATCTATAAGGTTATGGACCGTAACTGTAAGTTGGACTGTATAATAAGTGTGCCAGGGATTAGACTGTGCGGTAGCCTGATGGTGGTGCCAACCTCCCAGACTGTAGACACATGCTCAGCTGAGGGAAGCCTCGCCCATGGACATACCCGAGGCCTTTCATCCCAGCATCCCTGCAGGAGGCAAACCAACCTCCCTGACACCACAAGCATGCAGCAGCCAGCAGCAGTTACCTATGAAGAAGCCAACCTTTACACAAGAAGCCTGAATGTTCCTGCAAAGAATCCATAGAAGGACTTCTTCTCCAGCACGCAGGCACCTCCCCCCCCCACCTTTACAGATGCTGCACATACTCTCCATTGTAAAACAAAAGGAATTACGACATCAGTGGATTAAGCAGCTGGCACGTCCATCCACTGCCCATTCTCATAACGCAGCTGCTGATCATTGGGCCATTACAACTAACGACCATCCATGGAGCCAGAACATTACTGCTCTTTTCTTTCCTTTGTCTTTCTAAAGGTGTCACCATTTGTTGAATGTTTTTGCAATTGCCCAACCATTAATCCTATTCTCCTGACCATTAGTAACTGGGTTTTTCTAGAATTCCTGGGGATTACGTGATTTGGTGGGGATTAGGTGACGACCCCAAGCCACTTCTAGGGTATATAAGAAGAGCATCTGCCCATTGCTCTCTCACTTCCTACCTACCTGACCCCACCCTATCTTGCTGACTCCATTTGTAGCACTGTCTGTAGTCTCTCATGTGTGCTGCTGGCCAACACACGACCCCTTCCCTAGTATTTCCCATATTTTTGCTGCACGATAGCCTCATCACATTGGACAGGTATAGTATCATCCAAGACAACGATACCCCCTTGCTAATGCAACTGTCGCTGTACCTTTTCTATCTAAGATTCTTAGCTCTGTATTGATTGTGTGATTGTTTTTAAGTTGTAAGTGTGTGAGAATTATTAGTAAAAGCAGGCCTTATTTCCTGCCAGAGCTCACCGGAGCAATGCTCTGGCAGTGAAGATGCCAGGGGGTGGGGACATATAGCAAGCCCCCTCCCCTGCTCCCAGCAGCCCTCCCCTCAGTCGGGCCTCTCTGAAAGTGACCTTGTTGTGGCTGAGAAAAATAACACTAAATGGCAATGATATAAAACCCACAGTCAACTATAACAGAAAGGAAGGCTGCCAGTCAAATAGAAAAGGAACACTAAAAGCAGCTCAGCCATCAGTGCCAAGGAGAATAAAAATGTATTGACCTGGTATCCTGGTTTCCCCCCACTTTACCTGACAAGGGTGGTTTGTTTTCCCCCATGTGTGCCATCAGGTAGGCTCGCCAGCTCTGAGTTGGGAAATACCTGGAGATTTTTGGGGTGGAGCCTGAGCGGTGGGTGTTGCCTTCTGACAAACCTCCGGTGATGTCAGGGGGTGTGGCATATGCTAATGAGTTATGCTAATGAGCTCCTGCACCTCTTTTTCTACAAAATGACCCCTGAGTAAAAGAAATCATTCTATTTGAGATCTAGCCTCTGTGTCTATTTTTGGGGATCTTGATAAATTGGACTCTGGTATATACAGGTTATTGCTCCCTTTATTAAAGCCATTGCCATTTAATATTCAAATTCTCCCATTTTATTAATAAATGAAGTGATTTGGCTAACAACACTGAACTAGAAAATGCACTATTTATGCGCAAACTGATCTTAACACATAAATCCATTATACCAGGGATGAAAAATGGCCATATAACTGCATTCCCAAATTTGTAGATTTTATACAGGCTTGTGCATTAGCCATTGTGCATCTATGGGACAACAGCATACCAGTATATCTCAGAGTACTGTTGCTCAATCCATTTGTCAAGACCATCAGGTGGGCTACACAGTCTCCCTCCAAAGCTGCAAGAACCTATTTTTTTCACAGTTGTTTTTTGGAAGGACCTGGTTCAAGTGGGCATATGTAGACAGCAAGGGTGCCATGCATCATGTCTAACAACGGAATGGTGAGGTGAGGTCACTCAGGAATGGAGGCCTTTTTTTTTTACCACAGATCCCTCCCTGCAAAAGCTCTTTATTGCCCTCTCACTGTTCCCTCAGGATAGTGTAATATCATTGTATATGCAAAGTTAGGATTTTTTTCCTGCTCCAATGTGTAAAGTCTCCAGTGAAAGTCACTTATACTAATACCCCAGTGTGTACTAGTTTACATTGTATTTCATTTACCATTTATTTTCCCATTCATTGAGTTTGGTACACTATATAATTTTGTGTCACTCATAAGCTGGTTATCTTATTCCAGATCATTTGTCAATGTTTTATAGTGTCAGTACCAATACAAATCTTTGTAGACTGATTATATCAACCCCTTCTTTTCATTGTGAGAACTTCTCACCTCTAGTTTCTCTGGAATGGATCCTACCACCTTTCTGCTGGTACAAGAGGGAGGACAGGTGATATCAACTGATTGCCTTCCTCACAGCAGCCCCCCCATCTCAGATGGTTTTTTGGTCATATGCCCCCCCCCCCAATCACCAGCACAGCCCACTTGGAGGTCACAAGGGGCTGCTGGGACAAAGGGAAAGTATGGAACAATCCACTTCTGTCAGTGGTAAGTTGGGAGGATTTAGTCATCTATTTGTATAGCTCTGTAGCCAGTTTGGGGTCTGTTTTCTTAGGCATGCTAGAGTGTGAAGGAATGACAGTAGAGTCACAAAGAGAGATTTCTGGAATTTTGCTACATTAAGTGTAATCCTGAATAATCAAAAGACATTACCTTGGGTTCGGACAGGATCTGACATGGTGCTGGGGTCACTCAAACCTTGTGAGTTGATAGCTCTCACCATAAATAAGTAGATCGTATTTGGTCGAAGACCTCTCACAGTGTAAGGTGGTGTTTTTACATGGTTAGCAACTGTTTGCCAGCTATTGCTCACCGATTGACTGCAATAAAATATATATTGGAAGACTGTAGATTAAAGCAATACGAAGTTGGAATGCAAAGCTGAAAATTTGATTCCAAAAATAACTGCATGGAGGACAAAGATTAAAATGCAGTATTAAGATATTAATTAATGCTGATTGAAATAGCTAAGTTAATCAACAAAGAAAATGAATCCAAAACAAAACAGCTCAAATTAAATAACTGCTTTGCTAATGTGAAAATATCCCACGAGAAAAAAATACCTGTAAAATAGAAACAGAAAAGGAGATGAATGTACAGGTTAGGTGGAACCTTCTCGAACATACCTTTAAAAAGATCAGACAAGCTAAAGAACAAATTTTACAACATAAAACGTGCCAAAACTCTTTTGATAAAATTTGGTATGAAGAATTTATGCAAATTTATACTTGTCCAAAAGCATACATGAAACAATTAGAATACTGTTTCCTAGATTTGCAGAGCAATCCTAAGGGGGTGGTGGTGGAATCAGAATAGGGACCCGAATGACCTCTATACCGGCATAACTCAGAGTTACATTGGTATAAGGGCAGTTTACACTGCCACAGGTGCGGTCACACACTCCAAGCAGCTGAGGATATCGACTAAGTGCATACCCAATCAGCAAATTCCCCTACTTTGGCCACGCTCCTGATCTCTGAGCGGCTTTTGCATCTGGGCCACAAAAATGTCAAGCACAAATACTGGATGGGGGATACGTTTATTGGGAGTAGTGTATGCGAAAGAGATCTTGGGGTAAGGGTGGACTGTAAACTAAATATGACCAGTGAGTGTAATGTGGTGGTAAAAAAGGCAAAATCAGTCTTGGGTTGTATTAAAAGGGCTGCGGTCGCTGTTTATCACAGGGTCTCCGTCCCTGGTGCCTGAGGAGGAAGCGACACAGAGGGCGGACTCAACTTCTTCAGATGGCAGTGGCCCTGTCCTGGAAGACAGAGGGGGCCAGGCGGCAGTAGCAGGACAGCTGTTCCTGGGCCAGGTGTCGCAGCTGCTGGTGGCCCAAAGGAGGGAGGGGATTCTGGCCCCTTGCCAGGTTGTCAGGCATGCGGACCATGTCCAGCACAGCCCATCCCACTCACCCTTTCCTCCATGAAGGTGGCAATTGAGCGAAGGAGCTGGAAGGCTGCTGTGCCAGGGGCCAGCAATGGATCTTGAGCGAAGGAGCTGGAAGGCTGCTGTGAGTGGTGGGAAGGCTTTTCCAGGGGCCAGCAATGGATGAAGGGGCTGGTAGCATTTGTAATGGTGGCTGCCAGGCACCTGGAGGGGATTCTTGCCATAGCAAGACAGGAGTGCATCAAGAGACTGCTGGGGGACCCATCTGAGTCTCTGTGGGGGCCCTTGGCACCCCCACACCCCCTGCTGGATGCCACAGCCAGCAGTGAGCAGGGGACACCCTCACATCCACACTCATGCCCACTGTCACCCTCTGAGGCTTGTGCGCTCTGTGTGTGGAACGCCACTGTGGGGTGCCCACGGACCTGATGCACGATGACCCCCTTCCCACTGACAGGTGGCTGGGGCTTGCAACGGAGATGGTCTCTTTAAGGGTGTGTGTGCAGCAGAGGAGCTTGGCTCCTCTGGTCCACCTCTCTCCCATTGTTGAACTGGACTTCTGCAAAGATGGACCAAAGGGCTGTGCCTTTCTTGTGCTGATAAATCTCTCACAACACAAATACATGGTACTTTACTCAGAAAGTGATTAAAGTGGAGGCTGTAGTGATGGCCATAGGAATAAACAGCTTAAAAAGGGGAGTCAGATAGATTCATGGAGCATAAGTCTATCAATGGCTACTAGCCGAAGGGAACCTCCACATTCAGAGACACTAAACCTCTGAATTCCAGAGCCAGGAGGGAACTCCAGGGGAAGGCCTCGGCCTCTATGCTCTGTTGCTGTCCCTCCAGAGGAATTGGTTGGCCACTGTGCGAGACAGGATGCGGGACTAGCTGGAACATTAGTGAATGTATGTATGACTAAGCTTGGATACTGCCTACAATTTCTGTGGGTGGAAGACTTTTGTCTGTGGATCATGACTTCCCCCTTCTGCAGCAGACCCCAATGCCCCCCATACTCTTCTGGGGGTAGGAGAGACCACTGGGTATAGCTTGGGGTGAATAGGAGGTCTGCCAGGGGAGGGGACATATGTTGAAAATCCCCTTCCCCAAGTGGACACAATCTTTAGGTGGGATACAAGCTCTAATAAAATGATATGTATATAGATTTTAGCTGTTTTTAGATAACGTTGAGAACTCTAATTACTGATTTTTAAAAAGTCATTGTTTACATGGGAGTGCAGTATTTGGTTATTACTTCTGAGGCACAGTCAGCTTTTATTCCTGTAAAATCAAACATATTTCTGAAATTTTCTTTAGAAATGGGTCATTTAGTAACTAGTGTGTGTATATATATATATATATTTATTTCCTCATCATATATTAACTCAATGGAATTGACAATAAGGCTTTGAAATGTGACATTTCAAACTTACCGACATACATATCTGCATCATCATATAGCTAAAACTAAGGTTAAATGAAAATTATAATGGAAATCAAAAGACAGATTTTAACATACCTAAAAGCCTCAATGATATATGCACTCGTTGGAAGGTTTCCAGGGGTGCCTGGCTGCCATGATAAGGTGACACTGTTCTTAGTAACATCAGTGACCTGAGGCTTTGACGGTGGCCCAGGAAGGTCATTTAAATCATAGTTTTTGCTGACTGCTGCTCCTCCAGACTCTGAAAGACATAAATGGTTACATTATACACTTCATTTCTTAAATGTTTTAAAGAACAAAGTAAAAACAAAATAACCCATACTGAATACAGACTATAGAATACCTTGATTTGCAATGGTTTAAAACCATTAAAAATTCACATCAGCTGTTTGTTACATTTATGTCCACTGCACTATATAATTTATACTTCTCTGGCAGGTGCCTTTTCCATGACAGGCAAAAACTGAACAGTGAAAGCTGTCCTGACTCCTACATCTCACTGTTAAGAAGCACAAGATGCTTGATCATTGATTCATCTAGTGATTAAAAAATCTGTAAGGAAATTGGATGTTACAAGTACGTCTATTAGGGTGCGCAGGGTATGTTCGACACTCCATTTGGGAATTGTCCTCCCGATGCAACTGCTGAAATATTTTTTATCAACTGACAGTCCCAAAACTAAGAAGAGCTTTTACCTTGGCAAGACTGAATGTTCTTTCCTCGGCAGTTTTGGAGGGCAGATATAATAAAGTATCATACTCTAATAGAACATGAAGATGCTCGTATCGTACAATTTAAATTATTGAACATATGATTATGGAGTGCCCTATATTCAATGAGTTGAGGGCTAATTTAGTCACCCCTCTACTTAAAGATATAGAAATACTAAATGTGCGAGCCCAGGTGTCATGGCTACTATCAGATACCAAGGATCGTGTCACCTTCTCAGTGGCAAAATTCATAGGCGCAATAATCAAATATAAGAGAAATAATACTAAGGTCTTTTAAAATATTTTCTTTGGTTCTGATTTCTGCTTAACGTGATAGCCGTATGAGCTGTACTAGTACCATATTGCATGGTCAGTGGCAATTGTTTTCAAAATCTTAGAAGTAGTGGTGTGCGCTTGGTTTGTATTGAGCCAAATAAATATTCGAAAAATACCTTATCTGTATTTTTCAGGTATTTATCCAGCTGAATCAGATTTTCTAATCTGATTTGGCTACCGATCCAGCTAAATCCAAATAAAAGCAGATATTATTCAGCTTTTATTTGGACTCAGCTGAAGTTCCCTTTAAATGGTTTTTGCAAAGCCAAGCCATATGTGTGCCTTCCCTTACCTCCCTGAGTCATGCCACAGTGGAGGCACATATCAGCAAGTGAAGGGAAGTCATTTAAAGCCTTCCCTTTCTTCACTGAGGTGTGCCACCACCATGGTACAACTCTGGGAGGGAAGGTAATTAAAGCTTTAATTCCTTCCCTCCCCTCCCTGAGTCGTGCTGCAGCAGTGGCACACCTCCACAAGGGAAGACAAGTTATTCAAAAAGACATCCCTTCACTTTCTGAGGCATGCCGCCATGGCAGTGTGACTCAGGGAGGGAAGGGAAGGTATTTATAATTAAAATACCTCCCCTTCACTTGCAGAGTTGCAGTGTAGTGGCAGCATGTCTCAGCAAGGGAAGGGCAAGGCCTGGGGGGGAGCAGCAGGGCCATTTGGCTTGGGTCTCAAATTCTCGGGGAGCCTCAAATTTACTCTTTTGGTGTTAAATCACATGCTAAATAAAAGATGGGAACATTTATTACAAAGTCTTACAATAGTCTTTTTCTTATTGTATTAAATGTAAACATTTAAAATATAATACTAATTTTGTATCATTGTTTTTGTACTACTTCATTTTTTTAATTTACTGGGGGGGGGGCTCAAGGGAAGTGGCCTGGGCCTCTCTTGACCTCTGTGAGGGCCTGGGGAAGAGAAGGTATTTAAAGATCATGTGGCATGACTTGAGGAGGGAAGAGAGAGTATGGGACCAATTCAATTTGAAAATACTGATTATTTCCTGAATCCCAATATCATACCGATATTGGGATTTGGGAATATCAGTATATACCAATATTTTGGGGGTTTGGTATACTCAAACCTGAAAAATATCGTTTTGTGTGCACTCTCTTAGTCAGATTTTTTAATGGTTCTATTATGTACTATGTTAGATAATAAATTCAGAATACAGGGTACATTTTTAAGCAGCAGCTGCTGAACTTCTACTTGTCATTCAATCCTAATTTTATCTGTTTTATTTATACTCCATTTTTCTTCCCTACTTTTTCATAAAGGATAAAACACTGCCTCTGTATACCAAAAATAGTTAAAATAAATATGTGGCTTACCTGTTACATCTAGGACAGCACTCCATGATGTCTCCCCACTTGAACTTGTGGCAACACAAGTATATGTACCGATGTCAGATATCTGAATGTATGGAAATGGTTGAAGACATTAATGACAACCATTTTGTGCATTCACTTACTCAGTTCTGCTAAATGTTTTTTTTTGGAGACTCAATGAGATTGGCCTGCATTTTAAATTGGAACAGATGACACTAGATGTTTCACAAATAATTTAATGGTGCCTTGTTTTTAGTGAAGTATAGTGAGATTACTTAATATCACAGTACTCTATAGTTCCTTCGCTCCTCAATTTTTACATCTCATGTGAGTGATATTTAAGTAATTATTCTGAAACCTTGTTACATCAAATTCTAGCTAATTGACTTTATCTTGGTGGATAGAACAATATAATAAGTGGCTAACTAGTCTTCTTTTCATTCTTTGTGTTCATCTTCATTTTCCTTTTTTGAGGAAAACTTGTCAATAGCACTCACTGTTATAATGATAAGGTATCATAAGATCAATGAAAAGCCGCAGTTGGTTGAGTATGGGTGCCCCATGAAGCCCTAATCCTGCTGTTTATGTTAGTCTAGAGATAGAAACAGATAAGATGAAATGTTGACATTGGTGATGAGCAGAAAATCACTTCCATTCTCTGTCGACTTCTACAGATCTAGGAAGTAAGGGTGAAATTAGTGCCACAATCATTTATTGATTTTGAAAAAGACTATAAATCCATGCTCTGAATAGAGAAGGATACTATTTCTGCAACTTCCTTTTTAAAAATCAGCACGGAAGCAAATTAATTAGGCATTCTTTGACAGAAAAGGTATCTACTAACATACTACCAGTTTATAATATCCTTCAGTTATATGCTTGCTCTTGGATTTGGGTTACTGTCCACATCCTTTGCCAAATTCATCTTGAATTGTCTTAGGACAATATGTTACAAAGGATATGAGTACTTCATATTGCACAAAAGCAAATTAGTTGAGGTAACTTTTTTTGTTCTGCAAAAAGTAGGAAGCTCAACAATAATTATGTTATATCTTCTAATTCAGATTTCAGAACCTAACCAGAATAAGAATTTACTGCTTAGGTATATAGCACAGAAGATTTTTCTACAGCTTCTTTGAAAACAGATTTGAATGCTTTTACTTAGCTTTAAATAAATTTTAGTTAGCAATCAACCTTTAGTGGAATGATGTGTAGAACACACACTTCTATTTATGAAATACTAGAAGGGGAAAGGATATAGCATATTGCAAGATTGTGAAGTCTGCTCTCCTGAAGAGTTAAAGCAGTTGTTCAATTTTGCAACCATGTTCACAAAACAGAACATGCCTTTAATATTCTAGCACAACAGAACATGCCTCTTGACAGAAGAGCATGGATTCTGTAAGGGAAGATCATGTTTCCCTAACATTTTATAGTTCTTTGAGGGGGTGAACAAACATGTGGACAAGGGGGACCAAGATGTTGTTTACCTAAACTTCCAGAAATTCTGATACAGTTCCTCATCAAAGGCTCCTAAGTAAACTCAGCAGTCATGGGATAAGAGGACAAGTCCTCTTGTGGATTAAAAATGGTTAATAAATAGGAAACAGAGTGAGTATAAATGGTCAGTTTTCACAGTGGAAGGTGGTAAGCAGTGGGGTACAGCAGGGCTTGGAATTAGACCTGGTGCTTTTTAACTTGTTCACTAATGATTTGGAGTTGGGAGTAAGCAGTGAAGTGACTAAGTTTGTGGATGACACAAAGTTGTTCAGGGTGGTAAGAACCAGGGAGGACTGTGAGGAGCTCCAGAAGGATCTACTGAGGCTGGGTGACTGGGCATCAGTGTGGCAAATGAGGTTGAACATGGGCAAGTGCAAAGTAATGCACACTGGAGCTAAAAATTCTAACTATACATATACGTTGATGGGGTCCAAACTGGAGAGAGATCTTGTACTCGTGGTAGATAACTCACTAAAGATGTCAACTCAGTGTGTTACTGCAATAAACAAGGCAAATACTATGCTGAGGATTGTTAGGAGGGGGACTCAAAACAAATTAGCTAGTATCATAATGCCCCTGTATAAATCTATGGTGTGGCCTCATTAACTTGGAGAAATGATGACAGAAGTTTACAAAATTATGCATGGGATTGAGAAGGTAGAGAAAGAAGTACTTTTCTCCCATTCTCACAATACAAGAAATCATGGGCACTCAATGAAATTACAGAGCAGTAGGCTTCGAACAGATAAAACGAAGTACTTCTTCACCCAAAGAGTAATTAAGACGTGGAATTCACTGCTGCAGGAAGTGGTGGCGGCTATAGCATAGACAGCTTCAAAAGTGGATTGGAGCGGAGGTCCATCAGTGGCTACTGCCAAAACATATAGATGGACCACTATGTATGGAGCAGTGATGTTCTGTATTCTTGATGCTTGGAGGGCAACAGTGGGAGGGCTTCTGGAGTTCTGGTCCCATTGTTGGACCTCCTGAGGGCACTTGGGTTTTGACCACTGTGTGACACAGGGTGTTGGACTGGATGGGCCATTGGCCTGATCCAACATGTCTTCTCTTATTTTCTTAATCTATCATCTAGAATATGGACCCATAAGCATGCTTCTAATCTCTACTAGAGGTCATGAAATAGCATAAAATGTTCTTATTGCAAGCTAATCTTGATCACAGCACAACTAACTACAGAAAAGTTCCAGCCGCTTTTTAAAAAGTCAGCTAACCAGGCAATGAATGATTCTAATAACTGGCCTTAAAGTTAGCGTGTATATATATCCTGCTCCTTTCCCTGCCAAGCAGGGCTCAGGATGGCTTCCAACAAATACAGTAAAATCAGCATATTACAATTTTGGAATAGTAATATTTATTTATTTATTTATTTATTTATTTTAGTAAATAGATTTATACCCTGACCTCCCGCCAAAGCGGCTCCAGTTTGGCAGGGGTCCCCCGCTTTTTTTGGGTTCTACCCGCCGCTGGCCAGCTGGCTGCTGGGGAAGCTCCACCCCCAAGCTCCAACACCTGCAGCCACCCCTCTCCCTTCTCCCTGCACTTAAAGGGGCCCCTTTAAGTGCAGGGAGCTGGTGTTTCCCCGTGTGCCCATCGGGCAGGGGGGCAGACACCCCCAACATGACGTCATCACGTTGGGATGTCCCACCCCTTCCGGGAATGCCCCCCAAAGTCCCCCGCTGGGGGCTAAAATGGACTTGGCAACCCTAATGGGTAAAGATGACCATTTACTGAATTGTAACTTATAACAGTGGGAAACAACCATAACTGAATCCAGTGATTTAAGTTTCTGTTTCCCCATCATGGTCCTGCTTCCCTGGCTTTCTAGTCAAGTGAAAATTCTTACTTCATGAGTGAATGTTATGAATGACTAGTTCCTCATTGGTTTAAAGGCTACTGGAATAAGCTGTTGCTCCCCTCCCCCAGCCTTTAAACTTTCTCCCTACTATCAAATTTGGGTTGTTTCACCCTACAACCTTCATCTATAAGATATTTAAAAGGGAAATTATTAGGCTTTCACATTCCTTAACATGTATGGATTTGTTTCATCAGTTTATCATCCTCACCCGTTTTTCTAGGTTCTTCAAACTGAACATGAACTCAACTGCATTACAGAGCAGGCAAATATTTTTGCATATGGATGAGCCATCCAGAGAGCAATAAAATTTCTGCATTTTTGAAGCTTCCTTGGGAGGCTCTTTATTTTTGTTTATTTTGGTGTATTTTTAAAAAGGTAAAGGTATCCCTTGCTTGAAAGCCAAGCATGTCTAATAAAAACATTGCGTAACTGAACACATTTGTCTGTTTGCAAAGCTGGACACAGACCAGTATCTTACAAGTTCTTGACTCATCACTGAAACTTTGTTTGAAATCATTAAGCTTACATCTTTAATTGCTTCTCTTTCTAGTATGACTGGGGAATCTTGACTATTCAAGCGCATTCTTTAATGCAGTTCTACAGCAAAAATGCATTAACCTTTATGGCCCAAACCTCCCTTTAGCCTTGTGAGGCAGGATAAATTGTTTACTCAAGGAAAACTAACATACATTTTTAAATAAATTCCATTTTGTTCCAAGGAGGTTAACAATTCATTTACGGGTACTGATGAGATAGTGGCAGAAAAGAAAATAGTCTTTCATTTTTGTACACTACAGCTGTCTATTTATGAGCTTGGGAAGGGAGAAAAGGAGGAATTATTATTATTATTATTATTATTATTATTATTTATTTGATTTCTATCCCGCCCTCCTGCTAAGACAACTAAATAGTTCTTGCACTAAAATTTTAACTGTGCATGCAGTATCTCTATTTACTTTTCTGAGCCATATTGCTGTCTTTCTGTGTATATTTATATCTCTGTCTTTGCATTCTATCTAGATCTTTGACATTTACCAACAAGACACCATATACTGGTAACACATCATAATGCATGGTATACTCAAACATAAAATAAGAAAATTCTTCTATCTCTCACTGCAGTGTGATAAAATCACTAATATTATTCTTTTCTATAGCATCCACTTTTAAAAGGATTAAGAATTCTTCTTGCAATTGGTGAACAGCAAGTATAACAAATGGATTCATTTATACTGTCTTCTCATGAAGAAGGCTGGGAAATCATAACTGTATTCATCCATCCTGATATATCATTGTTTGCATAAACATGGGTTGTTCAATAAAAATAGGACATTAAAAAAAATAATGGTTTATACATAAAGCACACTTCCGTGTGTACCTCCCAACAGAATCCCAGGATGTTGTCCTGAGCACCTCTTTATTACATGGTTGCTGGCAAAGGGTCAATATGCATGCAGGCTGCTCACTGTTGCTGGGTCACAAGAACAAAAGGGGTAAGCCAAAGGCAAGTCTCTTCAGAGATCTCTGGACTCATCTTGGCACTACTGAGCGCAAGGCACATTCCACTTACATTTGCAGCTATGTTAAACAATTTCCCCCACCCCCTTTCCCTCTCTTACAAGTGCCATTCCTAGGCAGAATTATACCCTTCTAAGTCCACTGAAGACAATTGCTTTGGCAGGATGTAACTTTGCAATGGATCACATTGCTCATCTCCTGTCTTTTAACCACATTCCATTTCATTAATATGATTACTTTCTGAAATAAAATAAAATCAAGCAAAGAGGCACATGTTTGCCAGATCACTCAGTCAACCACTGAATGGATGTATTTGTGTAGTCTTTGTATGTTGGCTGCCAGCAGCAGAAAGGTAGTTGGTGTGTGATATTCCTTATTAGCAAATGGTGAACACCACTGTGTGTCTAAATCCCCCCCCCCAGTCTATACCTGTTGGTTTTGACAGTACAAACATCCCTTTCACTTCTCATTTGCCCCCACAGTAATGATTTGTGAGTCTCTTAATATGAAAATGGTGGGTATGGAGATAGGCAAAAATGGAATAAAATTGTTTGGGAAACTGCCAGTAATACCTGAAAGTAATACTTGTTGGTTAGGTTTTTTGGTTGCCATGCCCAAGCAACAGTGAGGGCAGCACAACTCAACAAACCACAGTGTGTCTATTTGGATGTCATGATAAACCACTGTTAACAAATCAGCTAGAGTCCAGTAGCACCTTAAAGATCAAGAAGATTTTGGGGATATAAGCTTTAGAATTTCGAGAGTCAATTCCCTTCATCCCCCACCTCCAAAATCTTGTTGGTCTCTAAGGTGCTACTAGACTCGAATCTAGCTGTTCTACTGCAGGTCAACATAGCTACCCTCTGAAACTGTTAACAAGTGAGTTACTAGCCGTAGTGTGAAACCTTGGTTTGACATCAATTTATAAACCATGGCTTGCTGTATAATCATATTTTGGATAGCACAACAAACAGCTGTATAATCATGCTATGATATGTAGTTTATTATAGCATCTGAGTGCATACTCTGATGTCTAACTGCAATATAAAACTTGAGAACCGATCTCAGGAAACAGCTAAAAGTTTTCAGATCTCAAAAGTGTTGTTAATATTGGTGGCAATGAGCTTCTTAGAAATGCATTCAGGAAATTTCAAAGCCGTGTTCTTGGTTTAACTGCAAGAAAGCAGTGATTTCATATCTCATATTAACCAAAGTGTTCCTGAAGAGTACTCACATGTAACTTACAATAAATGGATGGACTACTCCCAAGTAGCAGTCCTAAGTCCTGTGCATGAATGGGGCTTTTCTTTCAGTAGTTGACAATAGTGAATAACATGATCATAAAAATTTCATTAGTAAAAATGACTTGATAACAGGAGCTTACAGACAATTCACAGATCACATACTATTAGTTGATTACATTCAATAAAGTCTCTGACTTTCAAAATGGTAAACATGCTATTATAGTAGACCACACTCACTCGTAGAGGCTTAATTTGCAACGTTCCTTGATCCTGTATAGATATTCTAGGATCTCTGCCCAGGAAAGTGAATCCCTCCTTTAACCAGCTGATAACAGGCATTGGGTCACCAGTGGCCTTGCACTTCAGCAAAGCTGTTCCATCTATTGCCAATGTCTGGTTTACAGGTCCCTGAAGAATTATGGGTGGAGGCCTATCTGTTAGAACTGAATAAAAATAAAGTTAATTAATATTTCTATTTCTAAGTCCTCTAACATTACAAATCATATTTACTGTGCCATGCTTTTTGCAAGAGAGTACACACTTCAACAGGGCTGCAATGGCTCAAGTGGTTAAGATGCTGAACTGCAGACTGGAAGGTCGGTAGTTCAGCAGTTCGAGACCCGAGTGCCGCATAACAGAGTGAGTTCCTGTCTCTGGTACCAGTTCCTGCCAACCTAGAAGTTCGAAAGCAAGAAACTGCAAGTAGATAAATAGGTACTGCTTCGGTGGGAAGGTAACAACGTTCTGTGTGCCTCAGCGTCTAGTCATGCCGGCCACATGACCACGGAAACGTCTTTGGACAGCGCTGGCTCTTTGGCTTGGAAACGGAGATAAGAACTGCATCCCTAGAGTCGGATTCAACTGGCTTTTGAGCAAGGGAAACCTTTACCTTTACCTTACACACTTCAACACAGTGAATCTATCTTCAAGAAACAGCAAAAATGATGCAATGCTAGAAATAGTCACTAAGATAATACATTTTTACACAGTGTAAACTACTCTTGAGCTACTTGGAGGCAGGGGACAGAATTATAAACAATGTTCAAACAATTTAAAGAAAATAAACAAAAATATCAATTCCCCTGTAAACAAGTGCTTATAAAGTTCTAAATATAAACATCAGGATGGTTCCAAAGACATGTTTCTGCATGTGGAAGATGGGACTCTGCTAATGGAAATGCTGCTTCTGTGCTAGAGCACTTCATGTTCATCAGTGTTGAAATATTACATAAGAAAACTGTAATGAAACCCAAAAGCCGTTCTGCTTCCATAAGAACTTGCAGAGCAGGTGAAACTATGAAGCCAGCTACAGAACTACTGAAGCACAGCCTTATGGGCAGACTATTGTACATGGTTTTGTGTAACAGGTCTAGCAACTGTTTTTCTTCTAGTCATGCTTCTCTGGTTCCAATCCTCAATGTCCAGAATAGGGGGGGGGGGAAATAATGAAACTTATTTTACTAGGTTGCATACAAACACGCTCTTGTTTGAGGAGAAGAGAGTTTGGCTCCTGCAGATTCCTCATTCAAGCTCTGATCCCTTGCATACATCTCTGAGTTGTTCGTTCCCATGGGTTTCCTGACTCTTGGGAGCAACTGTTCAGATGATCCAATGAATTGCCGGAGGACAGAACTACGTTTGAAGTTCTCTGGATCCAAGCTTTAAGTCAGTGTCTCTTAAACACAATGGATCTGAAATGCTTTTGAATCTGAAGTGAGATTCAAAATACATTTCTGATACAGCATATTGTAAAATTAAAAAGTTAAAAAAAATTAATTGAGCTATCACAAGGCTTCTGCATGAGCCCAAGCTGCTTTTTGGATCTTGGTCTGTTTCTTCAACTGAACTAGAATAACAATACAATAAAAAAAATAGCAAATTCCAGTATTAACAGTTAATTGATGAATAATGCAGACTTTTTCTTGCATTAATTCTCAGTTAGTTCATCAACAGAAATATCACATAAACACCAAACACTAAATAACCAACTTTTCAATCAGTTAATTGACTGAGATGTTCTCCAGTGAGGAACAATTCAAATTTAATCAGACTGTCTAACTGCTTACACATTAAAACCTTTCATCACATTTTGAAAGCATAAACCTGGATCTTTTTTCTAAAATCTGTGCATTTATATGCTTCAATTACTTTATAAATAATTCTGTGACTTGTGAGTGCATGGCTGCATACATGCTTCACTTTGCTACTATCTGAGGTAGATGCTTATGCTAGCTTTTCTTGCAAGAACATTTTTTCATAAATAATACTGTTGTTTTCTGTATCCCTGTGCCACCTGTTAAGCGGGGGGAAATAGCTCTTCTTCCTAGATAACTTGTTTATGACTAAAAATACAAACACCCGGTTATAGAAATGAAATTAGGCTGTTCCTTGGTGTTAATGCAACTACATCTATTGTCATATGCCCCAGTTACTTAGTATCTATTCTGATTGTCATATGCCCCAGTTACTTAGTATCTATTCTGATCAGAATCTGAATGAAAATATTCTGAAATCTAATACTAAAACAGCAACCAAGGTAAAAGGGTACTGAACATAAAAAAATAATAATATTTGAACTGGGCTTTTGACAGGAAAACAAAAAAATAGGCCTTACTGATACATTTTCCCCCCTGTCTGACTCCTAACATCCCAGGAGTTCCGTATTCACAAAACTGATAATCCAGTACTTTCTTCAGGCTATGGGTGATAATATGCAGTGCCATCCTAAGTAGAGATATTATCATGTATTCTAACAATGAAGTCAGTTCAAATCCCCATCTTGCTGTGGAAGCTAACTGGGTGATTTTGAACCAGTCATATATTTGCAGCCTAACCGACCTTACAGGGTTGTTGTGCCATTAACAAAGAGGATAGCAGAATAATGAAAGATGCTGTGGTACACACTGTGAAGAAAGGTGAGGTATGAATGAAATAAATAAATAATAAATATAGCTGAAGATGGGAAGAAGATAAAAGGTAGGTTGGTGAATGGCTGAGGAGAAAACAGAGCAGGTAAAGGGAAGGTTGCCAGGAGGGAATGAGGAAATAGTACAAGGAGAGGGATATAGGGGAAAGTGAGGTGACTTCCCACAAGTTATTGAGGGTTACTGATCACGGAAGTGGTCCGGGACAGTGGCCACTAACACACAACTGAGATGTAGTTTTCCTAGGTTGAAGCCAATGGTGGGGGTGGGGAGGAAATGCTGAAGACAAAGGTGCTAATAAATGAAGACTGGCTGTTGGGTGGGAAGGAGAGAAGGAGGCAGGAAAAGGGAATAGGCTATGGGGGCTTGCAGGAAAGGAAAAGAGAAAATAGTGGGTAGGGGGAAATGAGATGCCTCCTGCAAGTCCTTTTGGGTTCCTGTTTGTCTATATACTAATAGTGAACTTGGCCAAATCTAAGGATACTTAAACCCAGTGATTGGAGCTTTGGTGGAAGGCAGATCTTTCTACAAACCTAAAAAGGGCCCCAGGCTTGCAGAAAAATCTTTTAAAAAATACATTGGGAGTTCAACAAACCCGAAAATGATAAAAGGAGCACCTGTAGTTTTAAGAAACAGAAACCCTCAGTGCCTGTTGCTAGGCAAGCTTTCCAGGATGGGTTTCTGAGTAAAAAGGCAGGGGGAGGGGGAGGGTCCTTTCCAGGACTGTTTTGGCCTTTGGGACCAGGTCTGACTAGGGTTGTCAGGTCCAGGTTGGAAAATTCCAGGACATTTTGAGGTGGAGGGGAAGAGGGAGATCCCCAGGATATAATGCCATAGAGCAGAGGTATCAAACTCATTTGTTCTGAGGGTCAGATCTGACGTAAATGTCTCTTTGTTGGGCCGGGCCATGTGTGCCATAAAACATAATGCCAGGTACTGGAGATAGAAACTGTATAAAGGACAGCACCTGGTAAGCTCCAAGTTGGTGTGTCCTCACTGCAAGGCCCCCTGGGGTGGGGTGCAGAGAAAAAGCCACAGAGGCGGACTGGAAAGGTAGCAGTGCAATGCTGGGCAGATGTTCCCACAATGCTTGACTGCTGCAGGCAAGGTTGTTCTGCTGTGCTAAAGCCATAATGGAGTGGCTCTGCCCACTCCCCCCTTGCATCAGTTGCTCGTGGGCTGCATAAGAGCCCTGGACAGGCCAGTTCAGGCCAGTCATCTGGAGATCAGTTGTAATTCTGGGAGATCTTCAGGTCCCACCTGGAGGCTGGCACCCTGGGCCTTACAGCAACTACTGCGTGACTTGATACCACTAAGTTTGCATGACACAACTAGGCCTGGCTGCTTACTGCTGTTCAACAGTATGAAATCCAGTGTGGTGTAGCAGTTAAAGCTTCAGAGTAGGGTCACTGGGTACTTTTGGGCTAGTCACATATTTTTAGCCTAGCCTACCTCACAGGGTTCTTGTGAGGATAAAAAGGAGGAGAGCAGAATAATGTAAAATGCTTTGGTCTTCACTGTGGACAAAGGTGAAGTACAAATGAAGTAAATAGATTAAAAATATAGGTGAAGTTGGGAGGCAGATAAAAGGTAGCTTGGTAAATGGCTGAGAAGGAAAGAATCAGGCAGAGAAAGTGCAGCGGATGTGGTGGCTACCAGGAGGAAGGAAAGGGGGAATAATGTGGGGAGGGCTATAAAGAAAAGAAAGGTGCCTCCCACAGTCCTTGAAGCCTCTCTACCATGCGCATGTACCTGATACCACACAACTGGACCATAGTTTTCCTATGTAGAAACTGCGGAGGAGGAGAAGAGGTAAAGATGAGGGTCTCATAAAGGTAGGATGGCTGGATGAAAAGGAGAGAAGGAAGCAGGAAAAGGGGCTTTGTGGGAAGAGAAAGAGAAAATAGTAGGGGATGGGTAAATGATATGCCTCGTGCAAGTCCTTGTGGGTTTCTGTTTGTTCCATTCTAAGTCCATTGACTTCAATGATCTTAGAAAGTAGAGACTCTGCTTAGGATGGCATTGTTAAAATGTTATAGAAAATCTGCCTTTAAATTTAGCAACCAACAAGGAGCTCTGAAGCACCAGAATATTAATAGGTTTATCCTTCCATGCATGCAAATTTTAATCCATCATAGCATTTTTTTTTAAAGCTTGAAAGAATGGGTTTGTCCCCAGTTAGGTTATCTGGAATAATTGTATTGAAGACTGAGATCCTAATTGAACAGCTACCACTAGCCATCTAGTTAGTAACTTTAGCTTTTTTAAAAAAAGGTCAACCTATGTTAGATAAATATTTAACTTTAAGTAAATTCACTGTAAATTCACTGGTTCTGAGATAGGTTGCTGTGTTGGTATTTTGACCCCCCCCAAAAAAAGATATCAGTCTTTGGCATCTGATAAGTTCTTACTGCTCAAATAAGTAGATCATAACCCTCTAAATGTGGCTGATCAATAAAGTAATTGAGAGTCTCCTGGCTAGAAGGAATCTTCATTTTCAAGAGTATTACGGGTGAAAG